AATTTGACCCTTTTTGGCCCCGCCCCTCAGGCCCCTGGGGGCTTAGGACTAAACCGGACACTGTTTTTGTTAACCTTTGTCCATGGAAGGTCCTTGCAAAATTTCATTGAAATTTGTTCAGGGGTTTTAGAGTAGAAGATTTTTGAAATTTTAGTCAATTTGACCCTTTTTGCCCCGCCCCCCAGGCCCCTGGGGGCTGAGGACTAAACCGGCAACTATTTTTGTTGACCTTTGTCCATGGAAGGTCCCTGCAAAATTTCATTGAAATTGGTTCAGGGGTTTTGGAGAAGAAGTCGAAAATGTAAATTGTTTACGGACGCACGACGGACGACGGACGACGACGGACAAAAGGCGATCGCAATAGGTCACTTGAGACTTTGTCTCAGGTGACCTAAAAAATAGACAAAAAAAATCAATTCCTTGATATTAAATTGAATTGCTTATCTCAACAATTCTTGGAATTTACTTGACATTAAAAGTTCAAAATAATAATTATACAGAATTAAATGGTAATATATAGTTCAATTGTAACAGCTACAGTGGCTGATTACAATCCCCCATGACGAACGTCTAAAATGTAATATGTCTACTGTTGTACTATTTACCAGAGCACAAAATTTGTTGCAATCCAATGATTTCAAAAGATATCATCTCAAATCCATTAGCCAATCAGACTGCAGCAGCCTCATTAAATATGCGTGAATTTGACTGATCAAAAGATTCGGTAAGAAAGTATACTGAGCAAATTTCATTAAAATCATGCAGGTTTTTTTTTTAAATATTGTCTGCAAATTTCTTCAAAATTTATCATCTGGAGATATGTCTGTATGAAATTAAGATGAATGTTGGCACCCAATACCGATCATAGAATCCAATATAAACTTGAGTGGGGAACTTATACCAGAAGCATTTGGATGAAGTTTTTAATACCAGAAGTTATCACACAGAAACCATCTCATGTGTTAAAATTCAAGATGGCAACCAGTGGCCATATTGAATTTCAGATCCCTTGCTCACTAATATCAATAATGAGTAACACGATCATAACCTCTAGCATATACTTACTGGTTGAGGCAGACATTGGCCTCATCACTGGAGCTCCTTTCTGGGCAGTTCTCTTTACATGTGCCTGAAAATAATTAAATGTATATGATAACATCTTGAAACTTAAATTATTTAAACTGTTAAACCATTTATTATATGAACTGGATTTTCTTGATTGAAATCCTATGACTGATTCTATGGATACCTAAGTATTATGTATGCTATTGTTACCATGGTTATGAACTGTTGCTGAAGATACCTACCCCGTCCAAAATCTCCAGGTTTGGGAGGATAACTTGCATCTCTGCCATGTAGTGAGTGTGAGAACCCCCAGGCTCAGAGAACGGATTCCCAGCGATGAAAAGTTCTGCTAGTTCACTTAGCTCCTCCAGATAGCACTGTAAAAATAAGTTCAAATGCATAAAAAAAAATTGAATAACTAATGATGATATGGGTATTATGATATTGGTAAAAAGGGAAGGGGAGTCTCACATAACTTATTTAACACTTTTCCAAAACAAGGCAATGTTGTACCTACATTAATTTATGTTATGACTTGGGAAATTTCACTCATTTCTTTGTCTACTGAGTCAAGCAATGATACAGAAAATGACCATAATATGTTTTATTTGGTTGTATAAATTGAAGCTAAGAATAGAACAAGATCTCGCCTATATGAATAATATAACATACACAAAAGTAGCCTAACTCAATCATGATTTTGATTTTACTGGATGAACTAGAGGGGCCTATCAATTCAAGCACATGTGATCTCAATTGTCAGCTCATGTAGTTAGCACCTTATCTTACAAGAAGTAATTAAATCTCAAGCTTTGGTTCCGACACAAGGACAGTCTGGTTCGACCCTTTGGATGTGTAGGTCTGATCACTCCTTCAACAACTTTCTAAATTATTTGGTAAAGATCCATGACTTTTTAAAACTAATTTCCTGGAAGCTTTCAGTCAATCAGAATAAAGGAAGTACCAATAGGAACATTGGATTGAATATGTATAGATTCCGCGTCCTTATACTGCTCCGCCTGCTGCTACACCTCACAGCTTGATCAAGATTCATTCCTATTTAAGAGAGCACTAATTTGTATGTGGACATTCAACCCAGACTTCTGCATTACCTCATTCAATATTAAGGGATCACACACAGAGCTTGGCTTGAGTGTTGCTATTTATAAACACTGTCCAGCTCCATTGATTCCTGGGATATTGTATTGTTCTGAACCCAATGGCAGAAAATGTGGACAGAATCAGGGAAAAAAAGAGCTAGCTGAACTGATCATCCTTACCACTTCATCAAAGTCCTCTATACAACTATCGGTGATGTTAAGGATTTCCAGTTTGGGGAAGTTGGTCGGGATATAAGAGAGTTCTGTAAACTTGTTATCAGCCGCATGGATTTCTTGTAATGATCTGAAATGTTATGTTTTGATATATATAAGCTCTTCAATGAGTTTCCATTTTCAAAAGAGGTTAACAATGTCAAGATGTTTGCATTTTAGTGAGGATTTGTCCGGTTGAAAAAAACAAACAATTTAGGACAAGTTTTCATATATTTCATAAAATACAGACACAAATTGTGATCCTTTTTTATCACACTACCATTAAGTACAAAGTTTGTTAATATAGGTGAAAAAACATATTTTCCCTAATTGTCGTAAATTTTCAAAAGTATGGTTATAACATCATGTCAGCTGTCTTCAATGAAATGACATAACGTCATGATATCATGTCTACTGTCTTCACTTCAATTCCAGGCCATCACATCCACTGTCTTCTATGTCATACTGTCATGATATCATGTCTACTGTCTTCACTTCAATTCCAGACCATCACATCCACTGTCTTCTATGTCATAATGTCATGATATCATGTTTACTGTCTTCACTTCAATTCCAGGCCATCACATCCACTGTCTTCTATGTCATACTGTCATGATATCATGTCTACTGTCTTCACTTCAATTCCAGGCCATCACATCCACTGTCTTCTATGTCATAATGTCATGATATCATGTCTACTGTCTTCACTTCAATTCCAGGCCATCACAGCCACTGTCTTCTATGTCATGACATGTCTGTTGTGTTCAATGTAATGTCATGTTGTCATGACATCGTGTCTTCTGTCTTGAATCCGACATCACACTGGTGTTATTGTTTGAGGTAATACACAAAAGAGTTGACGTGGGTGTACTCACTACATAATCAATATGGTTTGAAAAAAGAATGGATATTTAATGGTTCTCCATTATAAACCAAACATATTTCACAAGTATGGCAGAATATCAATATTTTTCGTGAGTGTCATAAAATACCTATACAATGTACAATATATTTTGTATTCAAGAGAAAAAAGGTTACATTTTAAAGTACATACAACAACAAAAATGTTACTGAGTTGGGAGGGGGAATTTAATAGCATAAACTTTGGTGCCAATTAGAATGGTCTGCTGAATACAATTCTACCTTTTCTCTATTATCTAATAAGTGTTTAGTAAATACTGTAGTGTATGTAGTAAAATATTACCAAAATTATCGTTTCTTCTATAGTTGCTTCATCTACATCTCAATAGAAAATCTCTGACTTTGAATGCAGTGAATAGAAAGAACAGCTCTGATTGGTCAGTTATAAAAGTGGTATCTTCAAATTGTGACAGATATCACATTAATATTTATTATCTGTCACAGTGCAAAATATATCAGTTTTACCAAATTCATCATATACCTGACTGGCAAAAAAGTTATAAACATTGTTATACATATAGTAGGTATGGCAACATGTATGGTTTTCTCTATTAGACGAAGGTTAATCTAGACACCTGGACTTGTCTATTAGATTGGGAGAAATCTAGGAAATACATACCTTGATTTGCCAAGACCTTTTAATGATGTCAGTTGATTAGATCCAAGATTTATTATCTGGAAAATAAGTTTAAAAAACCCTGAAAATGCATATTGTTCATAAATTCACAAATTACATTCATTAATGTTTCACAAACAGACACAATGAAGGATTCAAAGATTGATTTTCATTGTATAATATACATATATATATTAACATTGAGATGTTCCTATGTATAATATTCATATATATATTTACATTGAGATGTTCCTATGTGCATTCTGTGAAAGTAGAATTTGAATAGATTCTGCTTTAAAGGGACCAGTATATGAAGTTATTAACACTTTTGTAGGACAGTATTTCTGAGACTGTATTAACACTACATCATAAAGTCTGAACATGTGTCAGGGGAGGCAACTTGTGTTAAGCTTATAAAATGCTTGTTCCAAAGAATCTGCATCTACTGTTCATACCGATTAGTTTTCTTTTTTATTTCATATTCCATTTACAATTAATGATTTTTCCATTCATTGAATATTACCTGTAGCTTTCTTTTGCTTTCACTATTGTACCTGTGTAATATATAGTTAAGCCTCCTTTCTAAGCTTTAAAATTCAGTATTAATAGCTGGTGTCACCCATCCCGCAACAGTTTGTTATAATGATATTTTAATCAGAAATGAAAGTTTTACTCAATTTATTAACAGTATTCTAGTCATAAGTCCTTCCAAACCATGAGGTTAAACTTTTCACAAGTTATACCACATTATAAACCATGAGGTCATACATTTCATCATAAGTTGTACCAAACCATGAGCTCAAACATTTCATCATTAGTTGCACCAAACCATGAGCTCAAACATTTCCTCATAAGTTGTACCAAACCACGGGGTTTAACTTTTCACCATATGTCTTACCACACTATCCTGTAGGTTGGCACATCAAAATTAAACTAACCTGTAAGTTGGGAAGACCTCGCAGTCCACTGATGTCTGCTAGCATGTTATTTGATAAGTCTGCTTCCTGTAACCGCTTACAGCGAGACAGGTCAACACTTCGCAGCCTGTTACCGGCTGCCAACAGATCTTCAAGGGGAGGAAGGTAGTTCAGCGCCTAAGTTGAAAATTCTAAATCATACTTTTGACACGTACTATAAACCATGAGGTTAAACTTTGCACAAGTTATACCACATTATAATCCATGAGGTCATACATTTCATCATAAGTTTTACCAAACCATGAGCTCAAACTTATTATCATAAGTTGTACCAAACCATGAGATTATTCATATCATCATAAGATGTACCAAACCATGAGCTAAAACATTTTATCATTAGATGTACCAAACCATGAACTCAAACTTTTTATCATAAGATGTACCAAACCATGAGCTCAAACATTTTATCATAAGTTGTACCAAACCACAGGGTTTAGCTTTTCACCATATGTCTTACCACACTATCCTGTAGGTTGGCACATCAAAATTAAACTAACCTGTAAGTTGGGAAGACCTCGCAGTCCACTGATGTCTGCTAGCATGTTATTTGATAAGTCTGCTTCCTGTAAACGCTTACAGCGAGACAGGTCAACACTTCGCAGCCTGTTACCGGCTGCCAACAGATCTTCAAGGGGAGGAAGGTAGTTCAGCGCCTAAGTTGAAAATTCTAAATCATACTTTTGACACGTACTATAAACCATGAGGTTAAACTTTGCACAAGTTATACCACATTATAAACCGTGAGGTCATACATTTCATCATAAGTTGTACCAACCCATGAGCTCAAAAATTTCATCATAAGTTGTACCAAACCATGCGCTCAAACATTTCATCATAAGTGGTACCAAACCATGAGCTCATTCATTTCATCATAAGTTGTACCAAACCATGAGCTCAAACTTTTTATCATAAGTTGTACCAAACCACGGGGTTTAGCTTTTCACCATATGTCTTACCACACTATCCTGTAGGTTGGCAAATCAAAATTAAACTAACCTGTAGGTTGGGAAGACCTCGCAGTCCACTGATGTCTGCTAGCTTGTTATTTGATAAGTCTGCTTCCTGTAACCGCTTACAGCGAGACAGGTCAACACTTCGCAGCCTGTTACCGGCTGCCAACAGATCTTCAAGGTGAGGAAGGTAGTTCAGCGCCTAAGTGGAAAATTCTAAATCATACTTTTGACACGTACTATGCTTAACTAATTATAAACTTGCAGAAATCTTATGTCATACTTGAAAATGATATTTCTTCCCATTATACTGCTTCTTTGTTGCATCTCTTTTGGCACCATATTTAATACCAGAAATCAGAAACTTTCTTCTTGTGAAATAGGCGGTTTCTCACAGATTTTGAAAAATGCAGGATTAATTGACAACAAGTCATGGTAAATGTCTCATAAATTTGACACTCTGATTACATAATATTATGTGTTACTTACCGAGATATTATCTAGTATATTAAAACTGATGTCCAGTGTGGTCAGCTGAGAGCAGCAAGAAACCTCTGCTGCCTCCAGCTTAAGGAGACGGTTACAGTCTATACGTAAGTGCTTTAGTTTAGATAAACCACTCAAGCCTTTACCTGCAGTTAAAAACAAACAACATGTCATCAAACCTTGGTTACAAACATACAACACATGCTCAACCTTGACCTATATTTACAAACAGCATGTCATCAAATCTTGGTTACAAACATACTACACATGGTCAACCTTGACCTATATTTACAAACAGCATGTCATCAAATCTTGGTTACAAACATACTACACATGGTCAACCTTGACCTATATTTACAAACAACTTGTCATCAAATCTTGGTTACAAACATACTACACATGGTCAACCTTGACCTATATTTACAAAAAACATGTCATCAAACCTTGGTTAGAAACATACAACACATGGTCAACTTTGACCTATATTTACAAACAGCATGTCATCGAACCTTAGTTACAAACATACAACATATGGTCAACCTTGACCTATATTAACAAACAACATGTCATCAAATCGTGGTTACAAACATACAACACATGCTCAACCTTGACCTATATTTACAAAAAACATGTCATCAAACCTTGGTTAGAAACATACAACACATGGTCAACCTTGAGCTATATTTACAAACAACTTGTCATCAAATCTTGGTTACAAACATACTACACATGGTCAACCTTGACCTTTATTTACAAACAGCATGTCATCAAACCTTGGTGACAAACATACAACACATGGTCAACCTTGAGCTATATTTACAAACAACTTGTCATCAAATCTTGGTTACAAACATACTACACATGGTCAACCTTGACCTTTATTTACAAACAGCATGTCATCAAATTTTGGTTACAAACATACAACAACCTTGACCTATATTTACAAAAAACATGTCATCAAACCTTGGTTACAAAAATACAACACATGGTCAACCTTGATCTATATTTACAAACAACATGTTATCAAATCTTGGTTACAAACATACAACACACGGTCAACCTTGACCTATATTTACAAACACCATGTCATAAAACCTTGGTTAGAAACATACAACACATGGTCAACGTTGACCTATATTTACAAACAGAATGTCATCAAATCTTGGTTACAAACATACAACACACGGTCAACCTTGACCTATATTTCCAAACAGCATGTCATCAACCCTTGGTTACAAACATACAACACAGGGTCAACCTTGACCTATGTTTACAAACAGCATGTCATTAAACCTTAGTTACAAACATACAACATATGGTCAACCTTGACCTATATTTCCAAACAGCATGTCATCAACCCTTGGTTACAAACATACAACACATGCTCAACCTTGACCTATATTTACAAAAAACATGTCATCAAACCTTGGTTACAAAAATACAACACATGGTCAACCTTGAACTATATTTACAAACAGCATGTGACCAAACCTTAGTTACAAACATACTACACATGGTCAACCTTGACCTATGTTTACAAACAGCATGTCACCAAACCTTGGTTACAAACATACAACACACGGTCAACCTTGACCTATATTTCCAAACAGCATGTCATCAACCCTTGGTTACAAACATACAACACATGGACAACCTTGACCTATATTTACAAACAACATGTTATCAAATCTTGGTTACAAACATACTACACATGGTCAACCTTGACCTATGTTTACAAAAAGCATGTCATCAAACCTTGGTGACAAACATACAACACATGGTCAACGTTGACCTATATTTACAAACAGTATGTCATCAAACCTTAGCTACAAACATACAACACATGGTCAACCTTGACCCATATTTACAAACAACATGTCACCAAACCTTAGTTACAAACATACTACACATGGTCAACCTTGACCTTTATTTACAAACAGCATGTCATCGAACCCTAGTTACAAACATACAACACATTACAACACATGGTCAACCTTGACCTTTATTTACAAACAGCATGTCATCGAACCCTAGTTACAAACATACAACACATGGTCAACTTTGACCTATATTTACAAACAGGATGTCATCAAATCTTAGTTACAAACATACAACACATGGTCAACTTTGACCTATATTTACAAACAGGATGTCATCAAATCTTAGTTACAAACATACAACACATACACATGGTCAACCTTGACCTTTATTTACAAACAGCATGTCATCAAACCTAAGTTACAAACATACAACACATAGTCAACCTTGACCTATATTTACAAAAAACATGTCATCAAACCTTGGTTAGAAACATACAACACATGGTCAACGTTGACCTATATTTACAAACAGTATGTCATCAAATCTTAGTTACAAACATACAACATATGGTCAACCTTGACCTATATTTACAAAAAACATGTCATCAAACCTTGGTTAGAAACATACAACACATGGTCAACTTTGACCTATATTTACAAACAGTATGTCATCAAATCTTAGTTACAAACATACAACATATGGTCAACCTTGACCTATATTAACAAACAACATGTCATCAAATCGTGGTTACAAACATACAACACATACACATGGTCAACCTTGACCTATGTTTACAAACAGCATGTCATCAAATTTTGGTTACAAACATACAACACATGGTCAACCTTGACCTATGTTTACAAACAGCAGGTGGTCAATCCTTTCCCTACGTTTACAAAAAAACAGCATGTGTTCAGTCTTTTACCTAAATATCTTTTCATTAAACACTTATAACTGAGCAATTTATTTGTTTTACACTCAGGATTATCACAATATGTGCAGAATCTTTTAAACATTACCATTTCTGACTTTTTCTGAAAGTATAAAAAGCAATAAGATTGATTTGTAGTAGGTTATTGCTATTGTTTAGGACAAATTTGAGGATGAAAGGATTGTTATTGTTTGAAGTTTACGGAGACTCACCAATCTGTCTGATTTTATTGTGTTGTAGCTGGAGATTACTGAGCTCTTTACAACTGAAATATAACAAACAAAGTGGTACCCAATATAGCCTGCCTTGTTGGTGTGTCTTCATAGTGTTATAACTGACATACAAATTGTATACTCCAGATATTTAGATATTATTGTATATATGGGTTAAAATAACAAGAGGCCCATAGGGCCTGTATCGCTCACCTGGATATCTAAGCAATCATGGCAGAATATTCTCCAAATGAGATCCATGGGAATATGCCAGACCCCAAGGCCAATCCTTGTAGCATATATATCTGTATTCGATTTTTCATGCCCAGCAACTTTATGTATGGTTATGGGGAGGGGATCTCAACTGTTTCCAATCTGTGACTCAGAAACTAGGTCCATATATATGGTTGTGGGCAGACCCCAGGATCAATTTTAATATCATGACTGCACTTGTCTCTTTTTGCCCAGCATTTGTATATATAGTTTTGGGGTGGGGATCTCAACCGTTTCAAAGTTATGACCCAGGGGTTAAGTCTGCAAGGGTGGGGCAAACCCTGGGGTCAATTCTAATATCATGACTGCATTTGTCTCTTTATGCCCAACAATTGTATATATAGTTTTGGGGTGGGGATCTTAACCATTTCGAAGTTATGACCCAGGGGTTAAGTCTCCAAGGGTGGG